CGTGCTTGTGTGGGTGTGGGTGTGTGCGCGCGCGTGTGTGTGTGTGTATGTGTGTGTGTGTGTGTGCGTGCGTGTGTGCGTGCGTGCGTGTGTGTGAGTTTTATGTATCATACGTATAAAGATAGTTTTCAGTTTCCTCGTAGGTTTTATCTTGCAGAAATGTGTTTAACGCCTTTTTGCAGTTGTGATGTGATAGGTTGTTAATTGAACAGTTTCGACTCATTTTGTTGTATAAAGCTGGACCAAAGAAATAAAAGAATCTTTTAGTAAATGCCGTCCTAGGATGTGGTATTGTACAAACTTTGTCTTTTCGTCGTCTGGTTATTTCCTTATGCGGCGTGTTGTAATGCTGGAGCAGAATGATTTGTTTGATAAAATGTTGCCGAACGTTTAAAACCTTACATTGGTTGTATAATTTATCAGTGGGGTACATAATTGGACGGAATGTTGCTACCTTCAAAATCGATCTATGGGCAATTTCTAGGGGTTTCATGGTAGTTTTAGCAGCACCCCCCCAACATGAAATACAGTATGTAATAATGGAGACACACAAGGCAAAGTATATGTTACGGATTATTGTAGGATTCGATATTGATCTTAGTGTTTTAAAAATATAAATTAATTTACGCACTCTACCGGTAAGGAAATTGATGTGGGCTTTGAAATTTAGGTTTGTATCTAAGATTATGCCAAGATATTTAATATGATCTACACAATCTAGGTTGGGACAATTGCATTGAGTTGTTCTTGGCGGTAGGCAATTATGTGCTTTTATGGTGATTGGAATGTTAGGTCGAGATGCGGAGCTGATAGAATATATTAAAAGTTTGGTTTTGGAAGTATTTATTGTAAGAGTATGAGAATAAAGCCAATTAAAAGCTGTATCCAGTCCACCCTGAGCATAGTGCTCAAGCTTTGACCAAGTTTCCGCCTGGAACGTAATAGCTGTATCATCTGCAAATGACACTATTTTGGCATTAGGGATGTTCAGATCACATAGGTCATTTATGAACACCAGGAACAAAGTAGGGCCTAGAATACTGCCTTGCAGCACGCCGTAATAAACAGGAAGCTCATCGCTATCGCAAGTGTCGATTCTCACAGTTTGGGTTCGATTCGTTAGATAACTCCGAAATAGATCTAGTTGTTTTCCCCTGATTCCCATGCCTTCCAGCTTGTTTATGAGAGCAGAAATAGGAACGGTGTCGAATGCCTTAGCGAGGTCTACGAAGATGGTAAGTATTTTCTTATTAGAGTTTAGGGTCTGTACGACGTGATTAGTTAGGTCATGTACAGCATCACAGGTAGATCTATTCTTACGAAATCCAAACTGTTGAGGTGACAATAACTTGTGATGCTCAAGGTAATACACCAATCTTTTATTAATGAGCCTTTCGAGTACCTTGGAAAATGCACTAAGAACGGCAATAGGTCGATAATTGTTAGGCAAAATGCCATCTCCACCCTTGTGGATAGGGTGAATAATCGCCTTTTTTAACGATGTGGGGAATACTGCGGTGTCGAAACAAAGGTTAAAAATAAAGGAGAGTATTGGAGCTAGCACAACAGAGTATCTCTTAAGAATTAAAGGCGAGATACCATCCCAACCGGTAGCCGCGTTTACTCTGAGGGATTTGATTATGAGGATAATTTCGTCAGGGTCTGTATGGTCCAATACAAAAGATGATGCGGCTTTGGATTTATGTTTTATTTTCAATGGTGAGATTTGTCTATTGTTCAAGATACCGTCGGCTAGGTTTTTGCCAATATTGGCGAAGAAGGAATTTACTTTATTGCATGATTCGATAGGAGATAGAGAAGAACTGAGCAACTGAGTTGATGGATTTTTAGGTTTGTTAGTATTTGTGAGTCGTTTAATGGTGTCCCATAGTGTTTTTGAATTATTACTGGCTTGTGCTAATTCCTGTTTGTCAAATGCTCTTTTTTGTTTTTTTTAAATAGTAGAGCAGAAATTTCTATAGCGCTTATATGTGGTTTTAAGAATATCGCTATCCGGTGATTGTTTAAGTTTCCTGTGTAGCGCGTCTCTGTTCCTAATACACCGTAACAGGCCGGGCGTAATCCACGGCTTAATAATTCTCTTTCTTGAGGAAATTTTTTTGACTACAGTATTTTTCTTAATGGCCGAGGTTAGTAGATCTATCAGTTCATCGATGGCAATATTTGGATCTGTGTTTGTAAATATAGGAGTGAAATTTAGTTCTCGTATAGTTTCGTCCAGTCCTTTGTAGTCGGTCTTAGTAATAGTAAGGATGGCGGGACTTCGTTGACGTTCATGAGTTAGACATAGTAAAGATGAGTGATGGTCGGTTATTGAAGTATTATAAACAAAGCAATGGTTAGGCGATTTCGTTTTTAAGATTATGTGATCCAAACAATTATTGTCTCTAGTAGGATAATTATGGGCGGGCAAATAACCATGAAACGCTAGAAAATTTAAGTAATCGTGAGCACGGGTGTCTAAAGCATTAGGTTTAATATCTATGTTTAGGTCGCCCATTATAACAACTGTCTTAAAGTGAGATAGATTTAAAAGTATGTCGTTCATGACCGATAAGAAATTACTAATGTTGTCGTTAGATGGAGATCGATAAATGCAGATTATAGCTATGTCTGACTTAATCTTCAATATAAGACCTGAAGCAGTGTGACGTAAGTCAGGCTCTTCACATGTAGCAATTAAGTCAGACCTCAGGTATACTACAACCCCATCGCTTTGATTGATGTGGTTAGTGGTGTTGAATATGGTATAGTTTTGAAGCGCTGGGATAAAAGAGTTACTGGAACTCGACAGCCAACACTCGCTCAGCACCACTAGGTCACAATCAAATGAAAATCGGTGCAATAAGGCTTGCAGGTTAAGGAAGTTACAATTGATCGACCGGATATTTTGTGATAACAGTTTTAGGTAATTATTAGGGCTTTTTAAAATATTATGAGTGTGTTCTGGGATGCATGTATGTGTAGTGGATATAGAATGCTGATCTATATTGTCAATTAGATTAGTAATATTATTCATTTAATTTTATTGTTAGTTTATTTATATTTTAATACTGGGGACTTTGGTGGGTTAGAAGTAATATAAAAGGTGCTGACGAACATGCATTATGTTGTTGACTAGTTTGAAGACAGCAACAGACACATTTGAATATATAAAATACAAAACACTTGTGTATATAATAAATTTGTTTATAGGGACACGCAGTTGTAGGATTTATGTTCGGATGTGTAAGGCGATTGATGAAGTATCTTTGTTGTGAATGTGAGAGATCATAGCAATGTTTACATTTTGTGATAGTTGCCGTTTTTAAGGATATTTGTGTGATATTAATATGTGATGAGGATGAAGGAAACATATGTTTGTAGGATTTGTTTGTTGAGTAAGTAGTGTATAGTAGTTTGTGTAAAGTATTGTGGCACAGGACATAAGTATATAACAAAGCTTTGATAATAGCAATCAACAGAATAATAATAGTGTACTCATGGATAACCAGTCATGCCTTGTCACATGCAGGCAACTGTTTGAGTTGGTTTTCAGTTTTTATTATGATAGATTGGCTTTCGGGGCCCTTTTTCAGCATAATACGTCCATTAGACGTCCAGCAGTATTTGTAGTCGTTTCCTTTAGCGAAGTTTCGAGCTAGGTAGAATAGTCGTTTGGAATGTGCTGTCAACTGTTCCGTAACATAGATGGGAGTGATTGGTGACATACCCAGACTGGCTGAGTTTAACTTGTTGTTGGGATTGTGCTTATTGTAGCCTTTTACAGCTGCCATAACAGTAGCTTTGATGAGTGTATTACTAAATTCTACTGTAATTGTAGAACTAGGGTTTTCCTTTTTTGAGGGCTGTCGTATTATGTCGCGAATGTCTGAAGGTTGTAGATTGTGACTCAAGTGCTTACACAGCTCCATCACAGAATTGTACAGCATCTCCTTAGTTTCATTCGGTCGCTTTGGAACATTACGTAGTTCAATGCTGGTTTTTATGATGGAGCGATCAAAGGACTCTAATTTTTCTTCAAGCGTTATAAGCTTAGAATTAATTGCATTTTTTTCTTTCTCGAGACCAGAAATTTTTAAATCGAGTGTCATTAATTGATCCGTTATGTAAGACATAGATTTTTCGATCTCGGAATTTGTTTCATCAATCTTGTTGTTTATTCTTTTTAATTCAATTACGTGGTTTTCGAGTTTGTCCATACGGACGTTTTGTTGACATATCATATCTTGAAACATGTCCCTCATTTCCCTCTTAAAGTCAGATAAGTTGTCAATCGTGATATCGTCATTAGACGGACAGCGTCTCTTAGGTCTCTGAGTGATGTTTACATTACTTTTGTTTATGTCTTCAGCTGCAAGTAGTGTGTGTAAGTCCGACTCTGATCGTGTGGGAACATTTTGTTTTGGAGGAGTTCTCGATAGTTTCGACATTCCTACTTATTTACCCTAGTTGCTTGAGAAACAGTCGAAATTTATCACAAAAAGAGCCACTGGATCGCCGTAGATTTGAACCTATGACTTTGGAAGCTTGTTGAGCATACCCTTAAGCCTTGCGGCTACGGTCGTCGCTGTGAAGGTAGACGAAATTGGTGAGTAGTTGTTACTTGCAGAAATATGCACTCAGTGGTGATTTACAGATTGTCAGTTGACAAGGTCAATCACTTGTTGTCGCCATTCAAATGTTCACTAGTCACAGATGCACTTAACGAACTTTTGGAACTGTTAAAATGATTACAGTCAAACCTGGATAAGCGAGAGTTCAAGGGAGCACAATCTCATTCTCGCTTATAGAGGTTTCTCACTAACCCGAGTTTCTCGCTAATGCAGGTACATGGGTAGCGTTTCTCTTATAGAAGTACGCAGCAATAACAAGTCACAGCAAGTACGAATGTAGTAAATATATATGTATATATTTTTAAATGCTTACGAAAACAAAACAAAAATTCATGCACTATGTAATTTTATTTTATTTAGAACTTATTTGCACTCAAAAAAATCCGTCAATTTTGTTTGGGTTTCTGTTTTTGTATTTTGAATGTTTTTTTCTAACTCATAAATTTTGTCGAATATTGCTCGATCAACAACCGCCGCGTATTCAAAGTACTGATGCACCGTCTCCAACGCATTTATAGCTAGCTTCATTGGAATGATCTTTATTTCTGTTTCCGGAATCTGTGCCTCGTCTTCACTGTCATTTCCAGCAATACAGGTGTTCACACAATTCTTAATGATATCGTCGTCGGTTTGTTCTCCTGCGGTAGTTACGTCGTCGTCAATTTGAACGAAATCTTCGAAGCTCGGCATTAACATATTGGATTCGTGAGACACAAGCTTAGTCCATTCTCCGTTGCTAGGTCCAACTTCAACATCATTTCCAGCTTCAAGAAACCCAGCTTTCTTGAAGCAGTTTTTGACAGTAACGTCACTGACTAAGTACCATGCTTTTCTAGCAAATTTCATAGCTAGAAGTACGTTAATGTCAGGGCTATTGTTTTCTTCCAGACTCGTAAGAATATGTTTAACGACTTCTCTGCGATAAAAGCGTTTAAAAGTGTGAATGATGCCTTGATCTAATGGTTGAAGTTTACTAGTGGTGTTAGCAGGTAAAAACATTACTTTTACGTTTGCAAGTGGTGGCAAGTCCGTATGGGCAGCACAGTTATCAATGAATAGCAGAATTTTTTTTCGGTTTATCTTCATTTGTTTGTCAACTTTTTTCAACCAATCTTTAAATAATATCTTGGTCATCCAAGCCTTTGTATTATTGGCATAATCAACGGGTAGAGTCTTGACACCTTTAAAACATCTAGGTCGCTTTGATTTCCCGATGATGAGAAGAGGGAGTTTGTCCGTACCACTCATGTTTACACACTGAAGAAGTGTAAGGCGTTCCTTGCTTTGTTTTCCTCCATGGCATTTTTCGCCTTTAAACGTAAATGTTTTATCCGGAAGGCACTTAAAAAACAAAGCAGTTTCATCCGCGTTGTAAATATCGTCTGATTTATACCCTTCTAAAAGATTTGGCAGATCTTCAGTCCAGTGGTTGCACACACCTTGGTCCACAGATTTACTTTCTCCAGCTGCTTTTTTGAAAGCTATGTCATGACGCCTTTTAAAACCCTCTAACCAACCGTTGCTAGCAGAAAAGTTCTGTATTCCCAGTTTTGTGGCAAACTCTTTTGATTTTTCTTTCAACAAAGGTCCATCTATGGGAATATTCTTATCGAGAGTTTGTTTTATCCATTCCAAAAGGCACTTTTCGATATTGGGAAATTCAGAAACTCTAGTCCTCTTAATTTTTCCATGTCCATCAGAGCACTCAGACTTTATAGAGTCTTTTGATTTTATAATTTTATAATAGGTGGATTCTGGTAAATTAAACTCCCTCTGAATTTCATTTCGCGATTTTCCGGATTCAAACGCATTCACTATTTTAAGTTTATCACTTAATGACAGTACTTTAATTTTCCGTTTTGACATGATGTAGAACAGAACTTTCCTTCGCAATTGATAACTATAAACTGAGTAAGTCCGTCAAACAGGACGGTACACAGGCACACGTGTCCATTTGAAAAGAATGCGATAAAATAACAACATTATTTAGTTCCACGAAATAGAATAGGTACAATATTGACGAGAATACAAAAACAATGGTAGGAAGTTCCACGAAAGTTAAGAATGAGTCATAAAATAGCACATGTTAAATTTGTAAATAAAGCTCGACTGTCGCTTATAGAGGTATAGATAAGTAGTAGTCTCACTTACGGAGGTCTATGAGGGAAAAACGACTCTCTCTTACAGAGGTTTCTGTTTCTCGCTAATAGAGGTTTTGGGAGCTTAAAATGATGGGTCCTGGCTATTACTCTCACTTATAGAGTTTTCTCACTTATCCAGTTCTCACTTATCCAGGTTTGACTGTATATTGTTTTGTTTCACTGATTTTAGAGTTTGTTCACTGTTTAGTTGTGTTTGTGGTGCTATTATTTTGACGTATAACGCCAAAAAATAGTAGTATATGCGACAATTACACTAGATAAGGTTTTTAAATACGGAGATCACTCGTAACACGTCCGTTCGCTAGCGCGCCGAGCGGGGGGGGGGGGGGAAGTATTTATTTATTAATTGCTTGGTAACTTAATAATCTCACAGAGATATCTCACGAGCAAAAAATCAAAATTATGTAGGTAAGAGTTTTTTAATTATTAACGGACTTATGTTAAAATTGAAAATATATGAAAATAAGCTCACGCCCCTCGTTGGTGGTGTTTACTGTACCGGAGGCCGAAGAAGCAGCTATGCTCAGCAAGAAGCGTCGAGCGGCGCGAGCGGTGACGACGCTCAGCAACGCACGAGCAATGCGGTCCCCAGCTGAAATATTCGGCGTAAATATTCACTACGATGCAGATTATAAGGCACGGCAGCCCTTTATGGGGTTTTCTATGAAAGAAATGGCCTAACGAAGAAAATATTATAATAAAAAACCCGTTGTGGGTAAACGAGAAGAAAACTTTAGAAAACTCCGCTTTAAAATGCGATAAAAGCGTATATTTTTCGTAATACACAGTAAAAATATTCGTATGGATTGCAGAGAGACAATATATAATAGCTAACTTGTAAAAATATAACAAAAATATATGTATGACGTGAAATTGTAACCTCGACAAGGTTATTCGATAATTCTCCAATTTTACACGTAGTTCGCACAGTTATGAAACCAAAACAATGGGTGGGCAATATGTTACTTTAGGCACCAGGAAGTTTAGGAGTAAAGGAAGCCACTTAGCTGCAATGATATTGCTGTGTTGCGGTGCGACGTTGTATATGACGTCTATGTCCGGCAATGCTGGTGCTTCCGATACCCGTATCTGCTGTTTCCAAAGATCTAGATGCGGCGCGGTGCCGACCGGCTGTTGGCTACGGCGCTGTGCTGACCAGCTCCAGATAGAGTTTAGTGCTGCAAACTCCCTTCAGATTTTCGTCCTGTCACGGTCGCCAATTATGTCTATTCTCAAGACACTGGAGCTTTAACGCTCAATAAAACGATGATGAGTAGCGAAGATAATTGATTTTAATGTAAATATTCGTTTTATTACAGTAATGTTCACAATTCGTGTCCGTTCGTAATGAATTTTGAATAACAAGTCTACATGGTAGGTAGTAATTTTTCTTTCCTTAAAAAATCATATATTTCCAACTACCGTCATAACTGTTTTCGTTGTGAATGACTGTCAGGCGTTAACATAGAGTAATATTATTTATGATTCTGCCCATATTTTTGGTATTTTCCGTTCATTTAGGATTTTATTAAATAAAATAGTTATAGGTGATGCTAATAAAAACCTGCCTGTTTTAATTGCTGCGTTTGAGATACCATCTGGCCCATCACTTTTGTCGGGTTTCAAGGTTTAAATTTTTTTCAAGATCTCTATAGTGGAAAATCTTTCCAGACAAGTTAAGTCCTGAGGTAGCGTTAAGGTTTTTTGGTCACAGTCTTTTGATGAGTATACAGTAAGTTTTTTCGCTAGTAGAGTCTTCGTTTAGGCAAGGTATCTATTGTTTGGTGTTGCTGAGTATTAGAGCTTTATAAAACTTCTTTAGACTACCTGATATTTCTAATTGTGTTTTTATTACGTTAATTATATATTCATCCCGTTCCTTCTTTATAAGTCTGTATTTATATTTATATAAATAGCTTCGCTCTTTCTTTTCCTTCTTTGTTAAATTTTTCTTATTTTTTAATTCATTTCTTCTAGAGATTAAATTTTGTAAATAGCTCGGAATTTTGTTCTATTTGTTTACTGACTGATTTAGTACAACTCAAGCTGACGGATATTAATTTGTTAATTCTGTTACAGAGGGATTCTATATTATCATTTAAATTTAATAAGTTTATTCTAGAATTTAGTGCTTTAATGAATGCATCTTTTTCCACTGTAGTAATTAATTTAATCTTATTGTTTTTGTATTTTGCACGTTTTTTTCTAGATTTGGAAATCTTTATTGTACTTCTTATAAATCGATGATCGCTTGGAAATGATAAACTGCGTAAAACATTTCCTGTTGTTCGTTAGTACATAATCTATTTGACTTTTCTTTTCTTTCGGTGAGAGCCATGTCCATAAATTGTTTCTGTTCTTTTTAAATAAGGAGTTCAAAATGTACAGATTATTTTCCCAACAAAATTGGAGTAAGGTTTCGCCTTTTCTGTCCCTTTTTCCATAGCAATATTCACCCAATATATTTTCTTCGCCAGGCAATCGTTGGCCAATTCGAGCATTAAAGTCGCCCATTATAATTTGGGACTTATTAAAATGTATTAGAGCACGCTGTTTTTATTTGTAAAATATTTTAATCTCAAGGTCGCTCGCTTCAATTGTGGGTGCATAGACTTGAACGATTGGTAGTGCCATATCTTCAAATTTGAGGTTTAAAATACATATACGTTCGGATATTCCAATGAAGCTCTCAATATTTAATTTATATTTCTTTTTTATTAAGAAACCAACGCCATATTTTCCTTTGGTTTCACCATAGTACAAGAATATGTGCTTATCGTCCTCTATAATATTACATCCAGATCTTTTTATTTCTGATAGGCCGATAATGTCATAATTTATTATTGATATTGCTTGTTTAAAGTCGAATAGTCTCTCATCTGATAATAGAGATCTTACATTGAATGTGCATATGTAGAGTGGTTGGAGTGGAGGGTTGTGGTCTTACGCCCCCGCGAGGACCAGCCATGGTGGGGGTACACGAGGAGAGGTCGCTTTCTGCTACTTCTTATTAGCCTGGAACATTGTAAAGTCTGTGTTGTTTACAGGTAGGTTAGGTAGGGTTGTCGAAGCTGAATCTTCGTTTTTATTTTGGTTTCTTAACATATTGGTGGATATTAGAGTTTTGTTTCTTAAACGGTTTTTTCCTGCTATTTGTGTTTGCACTAGTGTTGTTGTTACTTTCTACAGTTACTTCAGGCGACTCAGATAAGCTTCTTTTGTTATGATAACGTTTAGATGTTTTAAGCTGATTTTTTTGGTCATCTTTTGGGATTATATTAAGTTTATTATATTTTAAATATGCTTTTCGGTCTTTGCTTCTTTCTTCAATTAGTTGGCTTTTCAGTTGTTTTCGCTCTTTTAATATATCGGGATGAAAGTCTTCTTTAATATAATATAGTGAATCTTTAAGTTTTTTCTTGTTTTTCCGTGCTCTCGTTGCTTGCTCAATCGTTTAACTTCTTCTATGTTGGTCGTATTATAGTTCAATCCCATCTTATCGTTTATGACATTAAGTATTAATTGTTGCAAGTCATGGTAACTTTTTTCGTTTTCCATTATACCAAAGAAAACTAAATTCTTTTTCCTGATTATTCTTTCTAGATTATGAATGCGCCGTCCTTGATATTCCACGACCTTTTCCAGTGCATTGTATTTAGATTCTAAATTTGCAAATTTAATATCTATATTATTATTTATCATTTGTGGTATACTTTGTTTGATATCGCGTATTTCTTCTCTTTGTTCGTCGAATTTACTTTGTAGGTTTTTAATTAGCGCTCTAAGTCCTTCCATTCCTGCTTCCATTCTTTGTTGTTATAAATTTTGAATGTTGTAAATAAGAATATTGATTGATAACAACGCCCTTTTGTGGTAAATAGCAAATACTCCCGTAGTCAATTTAAGATGGTTTAATTTTTCTCAGATCTGCTACTAGTCCCTAGACGGCGCTATAAGTAAAGATGTCGAAAACATTTTTGCACGTTGATTTGAAAATTTTAGATTAGTTACATTCGAAATTGACTAAAATCAATGAAGCACTAAAGTATTTGGCACTAGACAGTCAATATTAGTTCTGCACTTTATTCTTGTAAAAAATTTAAAAAATAGGGTAGACAAAACAAAAGCACAGAAGCGGTGGATTGTTAAATGTTCGTTTTTAGCACTTGCATTTCTTTTATTTATGCCAATAACACACTTTACTAATGTTTATAGTTCTTATGCACTGATCAAGCGGTTTTTTATCACTGTAAATGTACAAATACTATTTTTAATTCTTTAAAAAACACGGAGACGATACGATACGTTGCGCAGCAGCGCCCTCTCTCTCTCTCTCTCTCTCTCTCTCTCTCTCTCTCTTTAATTTTATTTATTTATTTATTTATACATCTTTATTTTACACTGCTTTAGTATATATTGTACAGACATGGATGGACATCTACATGTGGTATTTAATATATATATATATGGGGATTAAAATAATGCTCATTAGGCTGTACTTAATTGCAATAGTATTTACTAATGACCGAAATAACTCCTACAGTCACAATTTCTATAGGTACCAAAATCTTGAGTTCGAGAGATCGTGAGTGGTACTACCTGGTTTTAACTTCCGCGCTAGGAACATATCCTGTGTCACGGGGAACTTTACAAACGTACATGAAATGGAAATGGAAAACAGACAGACTTCCGAACAACAATTTT